AGGTTTGACCTATAAATACACATTTTCCTGATGATTAGCGAGAGTCAATTCTTTAAATGATATTTCTTTGACTAAATATAATGTTCCTCAAATCAAATGATGGTTATTACAAAGAACATCAAACTCTTATATTGCATTTTAACATCCTACCTGATCAAAACTATTGACCGAAATATAGCAAGCCTTAATTTTAAAACCGGACATACATATTTAGATAATGAAATTGAGGATCAAATGCATAACAAAGACAGTCCGTGCTATCTTTCAAAAACAGCATAAATTAACATTATTCCAGCTAAATTCCCAATAAAGCTGCTTTCATTCACAGATTTTTTTACTTTTTTGGTCAGGAACTGAAAATCAGCCCATTCATACTATAGATCAGCTCACTTCAAACGTTTGCACGTGTCACTCTGCTCTAATAAAATCCTCATTTACTAACCGATCTCATCAACAGAATCACCTTCTGTGACTTACTGGATCCCCCTTAGGACTGATATATATACATTTAGCCATGTTAGGGGAAGTCTTTGTTCAAATAAATTCACAAATTCTACCAAAATCTATCTGCCGGACAAAGAGTAACATTGAGCTATGTTGAAATAGGCAGGTGAGAAAGAAATCCACATGTTATGATTACTAATCCTAAAACCAGCCAATATAACTGTAGTATAACCGACATTTCCAAGAGGCAGAACTAGAACATTTGAGGAAAGAAAGCTGTCAAACTCCAGCCCTCTCTCCAGCATGTTTGAGATGTTTCCCTGTTTTACTGCACTTTGCTAAAATTGTAGGCCCTTTTTTGCATGAGAGACTGTAATGAGTGGTGTTGATTTGGGCCTTTTCTCATCCCATGGTAGAGAACAGCGACCTTTCACAATTACTTTTCCTACATTTCTGACTAAATTAATCTTTTCCATCTTTCTGGGGTCATTTCCTTTCATGAAACATTGCTTCAGGGTGAGAATCACCCCCCATAAACCCTGATTATCATTACTGGGAGGTGAGTGTGGCCCAGTGAAGCCCCTCTTCTGTCCTCATTGGGAAGACTCACATGATTTGCTTTAGAATAATTATTTCGCAATAATCGCCTTTCATCATTGGCTGTTGCGCTATTCCAGTGTTTTTAACCCCTGGTCCTCGGTACACTAGTGTGCCGTTAGTGATGGTCAGGTGTAGAAAATCATCCTATTTCACCTCATTGGTCTAAAAAGATTTTTTGATAAGGAATGAATTATCTGCAAATAATATTCAAGAGTGTGTGTGCTGTTCTAGTGACTGGTGGAGTAATCATGTAATAATTCCTTATGACTAGATTTTGTATATAATTTTGCATATTGAAGTGGACATGTTAAGAGCAATTTGAAAGAAGAAATATAAAATATGATAAAAATACATTTTTGTGTTTACTTGATTCCTATTCAAGATACTTAAGATAAAATAAGAATAACTATATAGTGTTACTATAGGCAGCTGCAGATTTGT